AAAAACCCACAAAAATAAAAAAAAAAAAAAAAAAAAAAAAAAGAAAATCAACACACTTGAGGATCGAAGCATAAAGATTTATCGCAGCAAAGCCCCGCAACTGAAGTTGCAAAGAAAGTGTAAAACAATAATAATAATAACCCCACCATCCTCTTTCCAATTTCCAGACACTCTTCAGAACAGACAAATAAAACTACCTCTACAGTTATGTAAGAGCCGTTAACAAGGTTCAGGGATCTGTTAAGGATCTGGAACATATGTCCATGGGGATGCAGGTGTTTGGTCAGGCAGAGTCATAGACAAACTCAGGACCTCATCCTAAATATTTAAGGTACCTTTAAATCAAGTTAGAAACTGGTAGTTACTCTTTCAATTCTTTGTAATACATGAACAGCTGAGTATGATTTTGCTTATTCTGTTTGGTAGTACTGAATAACTATATTCAACAGAAAAATAGATTACATTTTCACCTGTGATGAAAATGCAATATAAATGTATTCTTGCATGCTCTAATATGAGTTGAAGATTTTATACACTTGTTGAAGCTTTGGGTTGTGTTTTTTTTTACCCCCTCCCCCCCCCCACCCCATATTTTCTATCCTAGAGGAATTTCAACCTCATATCTATCTATCACATGTGCACATACACAAGAAAGCATCATTAGAAGTTTTTAATGAAAAAAAAAAAGAGTTCTGAAAACTTCTTGTCAGAACCTCTCAAATCCAAGAGAAGACATTCACCCGTGCACAGTCCATGCATGAACAGGAACACTGCAGGTTCTCATCCACGATACGGATACATGCTAACACTAAGAGCTACGCAAGTTCAGAGCTTATTGGCTGCGGTGTGGCAAACTGAACTCAACACCATCCATTAGGTTAGGTCAAACAATTCAAGTCTTTTGCTTTCTCTGACATTGTCATATAACACAGAATGGTTTTTAATTTGATGTTACTTATGCTAAAAATTAAAGTTCCACATCCTTCATTCACCCCAGTTAGCTATACTGTTAGGCAAGACATAGCTAATATGTATAAGCAAACCCAAATTTCTTTCTTTGTGTATCATAAGTGCATGATGCCAAAGGAAGCATCTTTCCATATTTTCAAGGAAAGTTTTTACTGTGCATTAACACAGGTCAGTACATTTTATTTGAGATTAGTAATTTCCTCAACATTAGACTGTGTGTTGGTCCATGTAAAACTATTTGAATTAAATAGGTAATATTTATCTGGTTTGTATTTAGCCTTTCTGCCTTGTATTTTAAAAATGCTTTGCAAATATAAACAGTAATGAAGAAGCCTCAGAAGTTCCCAAGTTGGAAAGCTTTGTTTTATCTTGTAATAGTTACATTTTTGCTTTAGGAGCCTTACTCTAGAGAGGAAAAAAAAACCCTCAAGGTAAGTCATTACTGAGGAGCACTTCAGGCAAAAACAGTAGAAAATATGAGTTTATCTAGGCTGTAGCGCACAGTTCCTAAAGTATTTGTTTCCTCTCCAGTACCACTTGGTGCAGGAGTTTCATTCTCTGAGTTTAAGGATAGAGAACAGGATGCTTTACCTTATGTTTAAAGAAGAGCTGTTAGAGTCCTACTCAATTTTAGTTCATTTTATCTTTTCACTAGCAATGTAGTCATTTTGCAGAATGAAGGTAAACAGAACTATTTACTTCTTATGCTAAATTATTTCTGTTAGTATCACAGGAAGCTTGAAGGCAAAAACTGGCTATGAGGGCGCTATATACCACCAGCACATCTGATGGCAAGTATTAAATCCCCCCAGTACTGAGGTTGCATTTGGCCATCTGTCTGTGTCAATACCTAGTCATGGTATTTGGAGCTAGGAATAATTGTACCTGGTGCCTTTAGACACCTTTTCTATAATTACTATATTACTATATATATATTTCTATAATTACTATATTACTAATTCTATAATTACTCTCCTCAGCTGTATTTAACCAATTCTATCCTTCTTGGATAGGGTCATGACAAGTTGATGGCTCTACTACTATGGCACTTAAAATCCTCATCAGCTAATCACTGCTTAGATGCCCTGATTTCTCCAGGCTCTCTTCTTGTGTCTCTGACTCACCACTTTTAAGCCAGAGCCACAGGGTTTGACTGGATTGTGCTGTGACTCTTCTCGGGGAGTTTTGTTAACTCCAGAGGTGTCCAAACCCAGGCTAAGGCTCTCTGCCCTCATACACTACATTTCTCATGGCTGCCTGACCACACTGAATCACAGAATGCTTTGGGTTGGAAGGGACCT